GGCTGTAGACTAGATTTTATGTGTTGGTCTGATGAATACGTTATCTAAAAAGTTTCAAAAATATCTGAAAACTAAATAGGAGAATCAGCCATGCTGCTTTGGCCTATTTTATCTTAGTTGCAGCTCATAACAGACGGCATGCTGAGGCAGCCTGCACTCTTTCTTTCCCTTTACAATCAAACATGGATCATCAATAAAGTAGAGTTCAGACATACCAAAAGGTTTGATCAGATATCTGGTCTGGCCATTAATTGTTGGTGTCAAATCAAACGGACAGCAATGCATGAATTAAAGGCCGTCTTTCATCTTTTCTGTCTATCTGGGTCAGATTACATCAGCGCAATGTGGTGTGTTTGTATTTGTTCATTTATGATACTGTATGTTCTGCAGAGTTCATATAAATGTTTGCTTAAGTACTGATATCAGGCTCACTAAGGTAATTTAATTTTCAGTTCAATTTAGTTTATTTATATAGCGCCATTTCACACCACGTCATCTCAAGGCACTTTACAGTTCAACCAGATCATCCAGTCAAATAATTCAAAGTTTTCTATGTAAGGAAAACCAGTTGATTGCATCGACTCATCGACTTGTAGGCAATCCCTTACACTAAGCATGCTTGTAGCGACAGTGGAGAGGAAAAACTTTTAACAGGAAGAAACCTCCAGCAATTTACAAATTGGGATTATTTAATGAGGATTAACACATTCTGCCAAAAAAAGTTAACTGTTTCTTAGATATCAATATAGAGGCTACAACATACATAAAAATGTATGGTTACCCTTGTTATGTATTTAAGGGTTTGTAATGTAATCAAATCTTGTTTAATTTCATTTAGCTCAAGAATAATTAATGTATCCCAAAAGGACATTAAATAGTTTTTGTTGTTTTTAATTTCTCTTGGTGTTTGCTCTAAGGTTTGAAAAACCTTTTATGACCACTCTTAAGTTTCAGGCCCAGCATTGACTCTTCTACTGTCTCCTGCAGGTTTTCTTCCAGCATTGCATCATATTTTTCTCCATGCATGTTCCCATTTGCATAGGAAATGCTGCCACTACCATGTTTCATCATATGTTCAGAGTGAAGTTTATGTTTTGCATGATTGCTGGTTGTGACTTCAGTGTCAAATATATTCCTTTCTGGAACTATATAGGCCTGTATTTCTTTTAAAGGAAAAGTATGATCAGCAAGGAATAATCAATGGCTCAATATTTATACCTAGAACTAATATGTTTGTGGTGATTTAATAAATTTAGCGGTAATGAGTAAAAAAATAAAAATAATAAATTTTGTCGCGATGACTGAGTTTGGGAGCAGCCATTTTTGGCCAAATATAGTAACACCTCACTTCTGACATCTTCCGGCAGTGACGTTACGGTGCGGTAAGCCTAGCGCCATTCTCCCCGCTTTACAAGCAAAATCAACGGGAACTACTAGACGCATCTGCAATCAACAATTTTTTTTTTTCCAGAGGACTTCACCGTTGAAATTTGCAGGAGCTATAGTTAAACCTACAATACCCACGTGCATGGCAGTTGAATGTTGTAATATATCGGGTAATACTGAAAAAAATTGTAGTTATTTCACCTTTCCAATTCCTGATCCTCCACGGACGGGTTGGTCGTTGGATCGCCAACTTGAAGAGGAAGGATTTTCCATCGAACTTCTGGCCAGAGAAAAAACATGTAATATGTAGCCAACATTTGGAAGAAGAATGTTTTCAAGATGCCTTGATAATAGCGCGTTGTTACAAACACCAGATACAGCACTGGGACTTGATCAATAGCCGATACCGCACCGTGACGTCACAAACCAGTAGGTGGCAGTAGTGTTCTTTGAAAAACATGGATGCCTCCAGTAATTAAAAACACATCATTTATTGAACAGTATGTATTCATTTCATATTTGAAGTACTTTCAGAAGTTCGGATTCTGAATATGACCGGACTTAAATATGGTAGTAGACACTAGCTATGTTTACATGTGCAAAATGTCATTAATCAGATTAAAATGTGTTCAGATAAAAAAAAAAAAATGCATATATTAAATGAATTAACTGTTTACGAGGACAATCAGAATAAATGGCCAGTCAGAACTTTTTAATGGGATCTAACAACTCGGTCACACTGATAATGGATACACAGGTGAGCTGGTCTCATTCAGAATAACTTTTTAATAACATTTATCTGCATGTGGAATCGGATTGTTAATCGGCATAAACCCGCTCTCTTAATCCGAATACAATTTCATTCTAAGCTCCCGAATTCGATTAGAATATTTTCACATATTTTACATCCAATTGGCTGTTTATTCCGACTCCTAATGTGCAGGTAAACACAGCTACTGAGATACCAGTCAGGAGCAACAAGGAGGCGGATTTTCAATTTCAGTTCAGTAACGTCTGTGGACAAAGTGTGAATAAGGTGTTGATGAGATGGTGGGCTATGATTGTCCGGCCGGCTCTCTGTCTGTGCTGTTATCTGAGCTTCAACCCTCCTCTCCTGCATAGTCATGTTTTATTCAACACCCTGCTTGTATTGGAAAATCATCCATTACATTCAGCCAGCAACCCAAGCAAATAATTCAAGATTGCTCCCATGTCTTTCCGACTCTGATGTAACACTAGTACCCGAGCACAAGTCGCTTTGAACTATGATGACAGAAAGCCACAGATTTGCTGTCAATTATTCAGCTGCGGGGGCAGCAGGGCTGAAGTTCCAACTGTGTTATGAAGAAAGATGCAGAGTCATGCACTGTAGCTGAACGTCCTAGTAAACTTATAGATGCCACTATTAGTTTGTAAAAAAAATTTTTTTTTCTTTAATCAGCTTCAAATGCACGCTTTATGCGCTTCTTATTAAACCATTTTCTTTTAAATCTGCTATAATATATTGATACCTTATATCTGATGTAGCTTAGGTAGGAATATCCCGATTTCTATTCTTTTAGATAGACTATCTTTGGCCTAAAAATGAAAAATATTTATGTTTTGAAAAAAACCTGTTATTTAGTGTTTGAAACAATAGTTTGCTTTTTTATCTAAGGTCAAAATTGATTATTTTGGCGTCAGTCTAACCAATATCTCCAATATCTGCTGCTGATTATTTTTGCAAGGCTGATTTTTTAAATGAATATTCATTGTCTTTTTCTATTT